CCTCAACCAGTCCACCTCAAAACTTGAAGCTGCTGTCACTCTGACTCCAGATGGCCACCCAGACAAGCCTTCATGGCTTTATAACCTAGGGAATTCACTACACCAACGCTTTGAGCACCTCCATGATCCTCAAGATTCTCAGCAGATGCTACTTCACTATACTTTAGCTGCATGCTCATCAACAGGCCCTGCTAGCATAAGATTTCTTGCAGCCAAACAGTGGGCAAAACATGCCCACATTTATGAACCCTCATCTGTACTCCATGCATATACCACGGCCATTGCACTTCTACCTGAATTGGCATGGCTGGGGCTGTCTATAACCGATCGGCATCATCAGCTCTCGGAGGCAGGCCACGTTGTGAGAGATGCTGCCTCAGCTGCAATTGCGGTGCATGACTACAAGAAGGCTGTGGAATGGCTTGATCAGGGCCGTTCGGTTATCTGGGGTCAGCTTCTCAATCTTCGCACACCAGTAGATGAACTGAGGAAGAGCCATCCTGGCCTTACCAATCAGCTTGTCTCTCTCTCCACCTCATTAGAAACTGCTGGCACCCGGAGGAACACTGTTGATGATGCTATCAAGCCACAATCACTTGACTCCATTGCACGGCAATATCATGCCTTTGCTCTTGAAAGGAATCATGTCCTCCAACAGATCAGAGAGCTGCCAGGGTTTGAGAGCTTCCTATTATCCAAGCCCTTTCCTGAACTCTTGTGTGCTGCGAAGCTGGGCCCTGTTGCCATCTTAAATATCAGTGCATATGGCTGTGATGCTCTGGTCCTAAGGTCGGGCTGTGCAGATGAAGTCATCCATGTCCCACTGAGTGATTTCACACTGCCAGAGGCACAGGCCCTCGCCAAATCCCTGGCATCAATTGTGGGAACTCCTGGGCGCAGTGATAGACTATTTGGATTTCAGGAAGGAGATATGGCTCCAGATGATCGCTTTCCCCATATTCTCTCTGTGCTCTGGGTTAAAGTTGTTCGACCCATCCTTGATGCACTGGCAATGACGGTAAGCTAATTTAATCAGCACATCCAAATCCCATCCTAATGATTTTCATAGATCCCAGTGAGCCAGGATTTGGGACGTATCTGGTGGTGTCCAACAGGCCTACTAGCATTTCTTCCTATCCATGCAGCTGGACTCTATGGTCAAAGCCAAGCCCCTGGCTCAAAATTATCCGACTTTCTGATTTCTTGTTATACACCATCATTGACCGCCTTGATCGAAGGGTTTCGCCCACATTCTGGAACCCAGGCAGAGCTTCAACTCCTTGCGGTCACTCAGCCATCAGCCAATGGGCAGTCTTACCTCCCAGGAACTCAGGAAGAAATCAAATGCATTCAGCAACATGTCAAGGGAAAAAAGGTCCATCTTCAATGGCTGGATGAAGATATGGCAACAATAGACGAGGTTCAGAAGGGCATGACAAATTCCAGATGGGTTCATTTTGCCTGCCATGGTGTGCAAAGTGACTCTCCAACTGAAAGTGCCCTCCTCCTTGCCGGAAGCTCACGGTTGACACTCTCAAACATTATTCAGCTATCTCTCCCAAATGCTGACCTGGCATTCCTCTCTGCATGTCAAACCGCCACTGGTTCCCAAGAGCTCCAAGACGAGTCAGTTCATCTCACTGCTGGGATGTTACTAGCAGGATACCGAGGTGTCATTGGGACAATGTGGTCAATCGATGACAATGATGCCCCACAAGTAGCCAGTGATGTTTATGCCCATCTATTGGAGGCATCACCTCCAAATTCGACGAGGGCAGCTCAGGCACTGCATCTCGCTGTTCAGAAGCTTCGAGAACAGCCTGGACCAAAGAAATCATTTTTACAATGGGTACCTTTCATACATTTTGGGGTTTAACTTGGGAGACATGACAACTGTGTAGGATATGGGTATGGTTAAAAATAGCTTGGTAGTTGTGTGTGTTTTTGTAGGACCCCTTGTGAGTTACAATCTTGATTTTATTAGACACCGGTACAACTTCTAAGAGCATCTCAACAAGCGTCATGTAAATCATGTCCAACATATATTGTGTCTAATCGGAGAAGCTTGAACAAAATCAATGCCCGAGAACACAAGTTCACGACAAAAACAAGACTCGCAGGCTACCGATTCCCAACCGACCTGAGCAATGGTCTCTTCAACTTCGCGCCAGCACAAGGTGAAAGAAATTTGACTTAAAATCTCGAGAAGATAACACCAACAGAGAAGACTTGCAATCCTGACAGTTATCGTAAAAAGGTTCAATGTTTTTCAAGAAGAATAAAAAGAAGAACAAGAACAAGACGACTTGGTAGACCACAGGCAACCCACAGCTATAGCCTATATTGGATATTCATATGCACCTAATGTAAATTACCTGTGTATATTTTACTCTGCCTGCTGTCGAATCCGCTCTAGGAGAGCTTACTTTTCGTTCTAATATTTCTCTGAACTCTATCTTTTCTCTCCAATATTTTTTCTTTTTGACAGGGCCTATAATCGCACTCATCAATAAAACTAAATTACGATTAAGAACCGCGAAATTTCGGCCTTAGAAGCCTTATGACCGGATCCACCATTATTTTCCTCTGCGCAAGTACAGGAATCCTAAATCGTAAACTGATTATCTTGAAATTTGTTGAAACATTTGTCTGCATGTATTCTGGGTATATATGCAGAATACAAGAGCGGTAGAAATACAGGTCTAGCGGCACGAACAAGATGCTCCACTGCGTCGAGAGCGGTGCCGAGTAAAAATATTGAAGTGGGAATCTGGAGGGTAAAGTAGTTGGGACTCCAAGAGCGATGGCGGAGGACGCGCTAGATGCACAGGTACATCTTGCAGCCCGGCTCGGGCTCGGGTGCGCGCGCAACTCCTGCGTTTTCCTACTGAAGTTAGAAAACAAGAAGGCAAGATGTGACTTCGGTCATGACGTACGGGTTCGTGGTTGATGATGTGCAGCCCCTTTCTTAAATTAGGTGCAGGAGCAGCTGATACACAAAGAGCGACTGGGCGGATGTAGTTAGCGACTATATTTATCCGCGAGAACGGGCCACATACTGCAAGAGAGCACGAAGGCGACCATGATTCTGCATTGCATGATAAAGAACAATAGAAGTTCCTTGGTAATACTCAATCTAGGACTGTCTGCTTTTGGCGAAGACAATAGAGAGAGGGCAGACCTTTAAGAGCAGGTACTGAGAGCGACAGACAAACTAACTTCCTTTTTAGGACATCCCTTTATATCGCAGACTTTTTTCGAGTTTCTATCGCGCTTCTGTGACATCAACAGCCAGTCCGCCGAAGGGTATCTGAATGAGGGCGAGATTTCCGGTTTGGGCACAAGACACGTCTATTTCAATACCTTCGTAACTGCATAAGAATTTGATCCTTTTGTGCGCTGTAGCAGTATGCGCAGGTTCGTGCACACCGTGGGCGACAGGTTCCTGGAAAGATTTGCACACGCCGTATCAATACCATTTTGGCAAGCGGAAGGATCTACACAGCGGAAGCATCACGCAGACGCCACAAAGACATTGTCCGCTGGATCGTATCCAAATCTAGGGAAAGATCATCAACAAAAAATGAAAGTCCATCGACTGCAAGCGTGCCCCACGCACTTGTCGTCTAAGACTCCCTGCGTATAACATTTCTGCTGGCCGCCTCGTTCGCACGCATCATGTGTCGCGTTTTGTAATCGAGTATGCGAGAGCACCGGGATTATTTCTAGAACGCAGGTCAATGAGTTGAATAAAGGCACGATAATGTGTACACACCAATTTTCTTCGAGTGCATTCGGGAACTCTGCAATACAGTCCGGGTTCGAGTGTGCGAGAAAAGTTGCTCATGAAGGTGCCGTCCTCGATGGCAATTCTAACAGATATGTTAGTAATTGCGCTCCAGCTCTATAGACATCAGTTACGCACCGGAAACGGGTGAGCTGCGTCCCTCAAACCACCGTTTTACCACTCGCCCCACAGTTCCAGTAATCCATAATCTGAACACAGATAGAGGGCACAGCGATACCATCCCCATCGTCCTCGAAACCCTATGCATAGTGAAGGCATGTAGAATGAGAATACAGGAAGCACGCCGCTCGAGTCTGCTCGGCTGGGGGCGAGGTGGTTGTCTTGCGCCCGCCCATCAGTGCGATGCAGATTTCTTTCCACCTCCGTCGCCCGAGCAGGGATGACAGCACCCATTCAGGGGGCGGGGATTTTGAGGTGAAGTGATTTTTTTTGCTCCTTTCGTAACGGCAGCGGATGAGAGGAGGACATGCATCCAATAGCTGTGTGCCAGGTTCAGAGCTAGAGAAAGGACCATAGTGAATGGGAAGTGGGGGTTCGAATCCCCCCGAGGGCATACGCGGCCAATGTGAATGAGAAGTGGGGCCCGGGGTGGGGGGTTTGAATCCTCCCGAGGGCATGTTATCCTATCTCCCCCGACTTTTTGTTTTTGGCCCGTGCAAGATAATGCTGATTAATGGATTATATTCAGGTTTAGAAGTAAGGAAAGCAGCCCTTGTGGATGAATTGAAAAATCACCCACCACAGGTAGCAAATGACAGAAGGCTGCTCGATGTGAGTGGAAGGCGGTTCGAATCCTTCCGAGGGCATATAACAGTCGGCTTTTTTTTTTTGCTGTGAAAGAGACGGCACATAACATAGGCTTTTAGTTAGGTTCAGATTTAAGGAACACAGTCCTCTCACTCCTTCAGTCCAAATGCTACGAACGTAGAAATGCTAAGGCGTGGGCGAGAGACAAATTTCTTCTTTTTCTTCCCATGATGCTCATTTTACCTAGTAAGCTTCCCGTGAACAGATCCTGTCCAGGTTCAAGGGTAAGGAAGCGCCGCACTTGACCCATCGACTTGAGATGCACCGCGGACATGGAAAGGGGAGGCTCCTCCCAAGGGCATTATTAGTGAGAGAGACGACCGGATGTATTCTTCCATAATGTGAAAAGATGACATCCTATCCAGCTTCAAGGGCAGAGAAAATAACCCTCGTAGATGAATTGGTAAATCGCTCACCATTGATATTAAGTGTGTTGTTCGATGTGAATGAGAGGCGGGGGTTCGACTCCCCCGGAGGGCATGAGTTGACGTCACTGTCGGCGTTTTTTTCTTCTTTTGCTGCGATCAAAACTGCAAAAGGATCAGCACCTATCCAGGTGCAGAAGTAAGGAAGATAGTCCTCGTGGATGAATTGGCAGATCACCCACCATCAATATCAAGCTTATTGTAAGGGCTTCGATGTGAGGCGGGGTTCGAGTCCCCCCAAGGGTATTGAAATGTTCGACCATTTTTTGTATTTATTCTTCATTTCTTTCTGCGCAGAGTCCCGCTGTCCCACATGGGTATGTGTAACGCCGCACGTTTTGCGGCGCCGGAGGATTGCATCCGTCTCGTCGCGGCGGGCATCCCAGTTAAGTACAGTGGCATGATGATCCCGCGCATGTAACCCAAACTAGGCAGTGGGATGCCCCTTTCGGACGGAGCGGTGGGTGTCTAGCTATAATTTCTGTCCACTTGTGCGGAAATACTGAGGATGGTTTATGTGCGTTGAACCGTTGGTTCTAAACCGTGCCGTAGTCGGCCATCAGTTCAGCGCATCAATGCAGGGCACTGCCACTGGGCTCGTTTTGTCCCTTCGCCAATTTACGATGTCGACGATGTGCCGTATCCCATTGGTACGAGTCAGCCCATCAGGCTGAGCTGCACGGATTCACGCGCGACTGCACGGCCCACGCACACGACGGCGACCTAGACTACGCGACGACAAGACTACGCACGCTACCACCAACACGACATGCAGCCCATCCCCGCCTCGCCCCAATGTCGGAGCTACGTGCCTGCCTTCGTCGTCGAAGTTGCGCAGCTGCTTCGCGATGTCGACGGCGCGCACCCCTTCGCGATGTGGTGTCCGTGCCGTTCTTCGCCCCAGATGCATCGGAATCTGTACCTCGACCGCACCCTCACCCTTCTGCACCTCGACCGCGCCCGCCGCCTCGCCTTCGCAAGGACGGTACCCTTGCCGTTTGCTGGGGACGCCCGGGAAGGTGCTCTTCGTAGGCGCTGGTTCGGGTTCGTAGCCTACGGCGCCAGCGTGCCCGGGATTCTTGGACGGGTCCGCAAATGCAGTCGGAAGCCCCCGATCCCCGTACCGCCCTCCCGACCGATCGGCTCCGTGGGGAGGGTAGCTGGCGGATATGGGTCGGTGGGTGCGCGCGCGGGGTGCGAGGGATACGCTGGATACGGGATACGGGTGCGTACGTCGGTGGCTACTCGGGCTCTCGCCTTCACAGTGCACTGCGGGCGCCAAAGCGCCATTGAGCCCACTCGCTGCTTCGTTCGGCTGCTCACCTAGCCTCCCTTCGCCATTTTTTCTATCCCCGCGCATACGTAATTGAATGGACGCCCGCCCGACGACTGCGCGCGTAGTAGATCCCCACCCCCAACGACCTCGCTGCGCCTTCAAGCCTCCGGGGCACGCTTTCATCGCAGAATCCGCCGTACCCTAAGGCAGGGTTAGGCTGCCCTAGGGCTTTCCTCCCTCTACGTGCTCCGCCACGTGGAGGTCGCGACTCGCTCGTATCGCCCCCCGCTTGTCGCCCGCCCCGTGCTTGGGATCCCGAGCCACCGTCTGGAACGAGGGTGCTTGCCTCAAAGTAGGGTGAAGGACCTGCGTGGCTCTGCGACCGCCCCGCTTGCGCCTTGGCTTTTTTCATTCTTCGTGCTCCTACCTTATCCGCCTCATCTCGTCGTTCAGGGCGAGTTTATCCCTCCCGTGTTTACCGTCCCGGCAGGTCTCGTGCACCATCCTTCGTTGAATACCCGCCTCTGCGCTCTGCATATACAGTTCTTTCTGTCTTGAGCTCTACCTATATACATATCCCTTGTTCCCGTTCCTCCGATGAACGTATTTTGCTTACGAGCGCGCATATGATATGATACTCATACATAGCAGAACAGGGAGTTGAGCTCGTCCGCCCATCAATCTTCGTAGAACTAAAAATTCAATTTTCGGCCTTCAATCGGAGATACTTATGGCCCTCCACTGACACTTGACTCGCAAATCGAACCACGGCACCTTATCCTCTTCAAAGCCTGTCATGATAGCTCAAGTACGCCAAAACCCACCTCTCGCGGGGACCCACCTGCTTCGCCCGCGCACCTGGCAGGCCGTTTCTGTGCGCTCCATGCTCTGACTCCGACTCGCGCTCCCCCCACATCGTATATCATACATGACCCGTGCGCGTACCTTGCTCGCGGAAATTGCCCTCACAGCATTGTGAGAAACTTTCAACAGCTTCGGACTATTCATAGGTCACACTTCTGACACGGCGCTTAACATCTCTCCTTCTTACCTCCACGGACGACGAAGCCCACCTTGAGCCCGACCTACACCATGGAACAACCGATGAGGGTGAACCTGGAGAGAATGAGTATGGGGTGTATTCTCTCACCTTCTCGGGGGAGAGCCTGAATCCTCCAAGGTCTGCGGGTGCTATCTTCTCCAATGCACAGCATTTCGTGGTAACGGGCGGAAATTTTACAAGTATACATCGTCCTGCGCCAATGGTTCTTTCCAGTAACTACCTATTTAAATTGGAGAAGAAGAGTTTTTGAGAGTTTGCCAGATTTCCGCCGACTCCCAATGGGAGACCTGGATCTTCGTGCTGAAATCTACCTGGACGACCACAACTCGGTTGTATACCGCAGGGAAAGACAAGCTTCAGCGAGGCGGATATATTCCGCTCGCATTCCCGTTGATTCAAAGATGACAGTGGCTGTGTATCAGGGAAATAATGCCAAGGAGGTGTGTTTCGGATGGCACTCCACTGAATCTGAGTTAATTATTTTATTTGTACCGGATCACCCATCATTGGTGGCTCCATTTTTGAGCACTTTCAGGTTGTTTTTCTCAGGTATGATTGGGTGCATGCATGGGAAGCATCGTCATTGATGGCTCCATTTTTGAGCAATTTCAGGTTGTTTTTCTCGGGTATGATCGGGTGCATGCGCGGGAAGCGTCGGATCACCGATCATTGATGGCTCCATTTTTGAGCACTTTCAGGTCGTTTTTCTCAGGTGCATGCACGGAAAGCGTTGGATCATGCAAGATTGATGGGTTCCATTTTCGCTGCAAAAAATGGGGGAAAAAAATAGCCCTACAAGACCCACTACTAAAGATAGTGGGATTTATTTTTGCCAACCAGTGGCTATGTTCTAACATGCCATACGACCAGTGGTACTGGTCGGTGCGGCATATAGCAATATATTTCCGAGATGGTTGGGAATCAGCTGTCATGAATAGTATGGAAACCCAGAGCACCACGCTTTTAAGCGATGCCCGGCAGTTGGTGCCGACCGATGGCATCTAGTGATGCTCTCCATAAGGCAATTGGACCCCGAATACCATAGGTCCTGATCGTCTCTTAGCCTACTAGTATAGGCGCTTTGGAGCTGATGAATAATTTGCTGCATACTGCGAGATCATCTTCTCAAGCAACAAACTGCAATGCATTCCACGGTATCGATTATTTAGAATCTCCGCACCTAACCCTAGTAGACGATCAGCTAGTAGAGTTCACGGTGAAACTGGTGATACGATCACGTGATCAGCGCCCGGTGATGTCCGAGCCAAACAACTCCAAGCGCGTCGGAAGAATTTGGGTGTTCTGTCCCCTTATTGCTCTGGAATATTTATTTGTAGACCAAACACAGGGCTGCGCTTGCTTGCACCAACCTGCCAGGGGGGAACAGTGTCCACTGGACTCCGGTGGGAACTCTTTTATTGGTCGACTCCGGATCCCACGAAATTATTTTCCCAACCGGTAGCAAGATGGCTCCACAAATACATAGTGTAGATATTTACGAGGCAGTCTCGTTGTTTGTACATGCCTTCATGAGAGGAAGTGCCATGGGACGTGATGCCTACCCAGTTCGAAGAAATTCTTGCACCGTTTGCCCAGTTGCGCGATCGCCCACACACCACCCAGGAGCACTGGGGATTTAAATAGAACTCCACTGACAAGCAAACGATGGATTGAATGAATCAAAATCATCTATTCTGCAACACCGACTCAAATGATTGCACATTGCATATTTGAAAAGCCATTTTATGTCAAAAGCGCGAAAATAAATAAATAAAGTTGAATAAGTGGGAAAAACACAAGAGAACCGAGTTTAGAGTAAGCTAATAGTCCTTCTGCTATATCTCCTCAGACCAGGTCAATGCGACCGTCAGCTACTACTCGTCTGGCCCATCAGTTCCTTCAGCATCCTCTTCGTCGGAGGTGAAAGGTGCAATAATCTCGTTGAATTCGTCATCGTCTCCTATAATAGGTTCGTCCTTGTTCAGCATTTCCTGCAATTTTCTAGAGTGTCCGTCATCTGTAAGTTGCGATCAGTCGCAAGCATAATGGGAACATTAATCAACGTACCCAAGCCGGCCCCGTTGTTCACATCACCCATGTAGTAGTAGCCTGTATCACTAATAACACTATCTCCGTTGAGGAGCGGCTTCAAATTGGGGAGAAGTTCCACATCTTCGACATGATCACCACGCGCCATTGTCATGGCATATCCCCACTCCGCATCAGCATTGAAGAATTCCAGAAGAATTTGTGAGCGGAAACGCAAGACAATCGCTTTGTAAATCCCCCAGCAAGTCTCACGAGTCACATCAGGCTGACCCAGTAAAGCATAAATGGCGCTGATCATCGTATGGAACTCGGGCGGTACAAGTTCAAAGACTTGGTGGTCTGGGGGAGCATAAAGAGCGCGAACATGGTCCACTGCTTCTTGCTCCACCTTGACCTATGTAACAAGAGCGTTAAATTTTACGGACTCCATTGTCAAACCACTTCACACCTTAAAATCGAGCCCTCCATAGTCCTCTGGGTGCTCCGCGATCAGATTCGGAACCCCATGAGGCAGAACCTTGTTCTTGTCTGCGCGTTTAGCAGTATTGTTGATTCGGTCGCGATATGCATCCAGCTCCTGTTGCAGCCACGGTATGAAAATCCAACGAAACACAAGTCTGAAAAAGAGAAGTGAGGCCCAAGCAGAAGTCTCGTAGAGCCAAAGAAA